AAAACTCATTGTAGTGAGAAAGATGCTTTTTCATATTAGAAAACTTCATCACATAAACATAGTTTAGTAGTTATTAATTTTAAACTCTGTTTTTAAATTCTGTTAGTAGTAAATAATTTAACTTTGATAGTATCTTAAACATTTGAAATTAGTCACAATAATTTCGATTGATTTCTGTGACTTTCTTAGTTAATTTATCATTTTAAATTTAAATCTTTCCTGTGAGATCGATATTTGAGACTTAAAAAGAAAGTCTTGTATTACTTGATAAGGATATGTATATTTTCGTAGAATCCTAATTTTAAGTGCTTAACGTTATTATTCATAAAATGCCACATCAAGTTTTTGACGCTGTTGTAAAACGGAGTCAATTTTATAAATTATATTTTCCTCGATCAAGTTTTTGGCGCCGTTGCCGGGGAAGGTAACGGTAAATTAAATAGAATTTGTAAATTAGGAAATTTAGAGATAAAAATATACAAAATACAAAATATAAAAAAATTATAAAATCAAAAATCCAAAAAATATATAACTATATATTTAAGAGTATTTTTAAGAAATTTTTCTTTGCTTATTATATTTGTTTATGTGAAATAGTACTATTAGAAAAAAATTGAAAACAACAAAAAGAAATTAAATTTTTGAACAAAATGGCAAATAACATAGATAATCAAATAAATGAAAATCGACAAAGACCTTTAGAAGATTATGCTAATCCAACAGCAGATGAACTTCACTTAACTATTCAAAATCCTGATGTTGCTGCTAATTCATTTGAACTTAAACCTGTTATTATCCAAATGGTACAAAATAATCAGTTTGGAGGAACACCTACTGAAGATCTTAACTTACATCTTGCTAGATTTCTTGAGATTTGTGCTACTTTTAAATATGAAGGAGTGTCTAATGATGCTGTTAGACTTAGACTTTTTCATTTTTAATTTAGGGATAAAGCAAAGCTTGGTTAAACTCATTAGCACCTGGATCTATCAGAACTTGGGGAGAATTATCACCAAAATTCTTGGCTAAATATTTTCGACCCTAAAAAACTGCTAAGCTTAGAAACGATATTACTTCTTTTTGTCAATTTGAAGGGGAATCGATATATGAAGCCTGAGAAAGATTTAAGGAT